TATTAGTATAGTAATAGTAGTAGTATGTCTCTTCATTACCCATTCAAGCCGTCTCCAGCCATTATATATCTAACAATGTAAATGTGATATATGGATGGTCCTGCTTGGGGAAAAAAGGTGCATTTTAAATCTCGAAACGTCAACAATTACTAGTTTAAAAGAGGTTAGTGCACCTCCCCCAAGGTTATAAAGTAATATATTTCACATAAATTTAAACTCCATATATACATAATCGAAATGTAAAGCATGTTGGTCTCATTGTTCAGATACAAGAGATCATTTTTTGCAACAAGGATCAGTGGGCCATTCAATTACTAACAATAAATTCTATACATTCAAGCAACATTTTTTATTTTTCAAAAGCGCATACTAGTAACTGCATAAGTTATTTCATTACTAATGACCTGGACTTTTTGAAAGATTACTTATGTTTTTCTTACACACATTTTAATTAGTATTTCCCTCCATTTTTAGAATCTTTTAAGCTGGAAATGAATGTTACTTTATTTGTTGATGGTTACCTATTTATATGTACCCCATATTACTTTAGTCATTGTACCTCTCTCTCTATGTACCATATTCAAACAGGATGTTGGTGACCATGGTCTTCCACAGATCTCTTCTACTTGAGACACAAATAATTTCCAACGTTGATACATTCATTCATTTAGATAGACACTTGACGTAAGTCAACCTCTGTCTTCCATGGTCTCTCCTTCCTTCAATCTTTCCAGTTATTATCAGTCTTTCGTTTGCTTCTTTCCTCATAACGTGTCCAAGAAACACTAACTACATGTTACCTACATATTCAAAATGTAAGGCTTGTTGGTCTCATTGTTTAACTGCATAACAAACAACTTAAAACTGAAAATTTTTAAGGGGTTGTGGACAAATCCATCCTTATTGTTAATATTAAGTTTAACAGTGTTGATATGATTATTAAATTTAAGAAGTATAATTTCTGAAAATATAGACACAGATTTGTTTATAAGCAATAATACTGCATTTATCTTTGTACAATTGTTAACTTGTTTTGGAGAGGTTATAATACAGGGACACATTGAGTTTCCTTGATATGCTTTAATTTTTTTTTAATATACCAGAATGTAAAAGTTTCATAAGAAGAAAGTATTGTGCATAGCTGTTAACTCAGTTTTAAAGTCCTAAGAATAGTCTTAATCATTACTATTGTAATGCTAGAAGTATAAGAAATAAAATGGATGACTTTCAGGCACTGGTAGGAATGTAGGATTTTGATATAATGGTATAACTGAAACAAGGCTAAATGTAGATGATTTTGGATGTTGGAAATTTCTTTGAAATACAGGGTTATAGGATATTTGATAGGGATAGAGTACTGAAGAAAGGGAGAGGGATGACTTTATATGTAAAATGTGAGTTACATCCTGTTGAAGTTGAGAATATAAAGAGAAAAGGTTTTTAGTGGGAATTTGTTACAGATCACCAAATGATACTGATGAAATTAGTGAGAAACTCTAAAGTGAGATTAAGATGTTGGCTTTAATGAAGTCATAATTATGGGTGATTTTAATACCAGGCATACACACTGGGAAATGCTAGTCAAACCATGAGGGAGAAAGGTTTTTGGAAACTGTTCAAGATTATTTTCTTCACCAATTGTTCAAGGAACCTACTAGAAACGGTGCTATTTTAGATTTATTGTTAACTTCTAATAGAAATTGGGGAACATCTAGGTGAAAGTGATCATTGCTCTATCAGGTTTGATGTTTTGCTGCATATGGAGATCAGGAATAATAATATTTTGGTAACAAGTTTCAAAAAAGCAAATTATGAAGAGATGTTTTGAGTTGGGCAGCTGAATTATTTGAAGACACTGATCAAATGAGGAAAGTTTTTGAAGATAAATTGTTAAATATTCAAGATAAACATATTCCTTATAGAAAGAAAAGGGTAAGCTACAAGAAGAAAACCAGGTTAGCTCACAAAGAGTATAAGAGATAAAATGAAAGAAAGGCATCACAAATTTAAGATATTTAAATTGACTGGTATGACGGGAGATTTAGAAGATTTTAGAAGATCAAGAAAGTTGGTCAAACAGGAAATTTGGACATCAAAAAAGATGTATGAAAAAAGGTTGGCTGAAAATGTGAAAATTAACAGTAAGGATTTCTTTAAATACATTAAGGGTAAACAAAATGTTAGGATGGGGTAGGGCCCTTGAGAGATAAAGGAAGGCTAGTATCTGATGATTATGAGATGGCTAAGTTATTAAATTCTGCTTTTTCTTCAGTTTTTACTAAAGATTTAAGCAGTATTTTTCATCTTGAACAGTTGATAACAGTTGGAAACGAGATGAAACAAGATAATAACATTAATTCTGAAGAAAAAATTGGGAAGTTTATAAAAAGATAAGTCTCCGGGGCCAGATAATATTTCTCAAATGGTTTTGAAGGAGGTTAAGGATTGAATACGTGAGCCATTTGCTACTATTTTTTTTGTATGTCCATGAATAGTGGGCAGGTGCCAAAAGATTGAAAGTTAGTTAATGTCACTCCTCTTTTCAAGGGAGGTAATAAAAATTGTCCCAGTAATTATAGGCTTATTAGTCTTACATCAGTTGTGGGAACGTTTTGGAAAGACTGATAAAAGATTCTTCGCAAAGTTATTTACCAAAGTTTAGAATTTTATTGGATAGTCAACATGGTTCCACTAAAGGAAAGTCTTACCTTACAAATCTTTTGGCATTCTTTAAAAGGGTTACTGCTTATGTAGATGAGGGCAA